TGCATCATTATTTGTTTTTTTAAATGCAGTTTTACACAAATGGTAAACTCATTTAGCTCTATTTACTTACAGTGAACGACAGCATTATTAATATGCATTTTTAATGGGATATTTATCTTTGGGTCAATAGTTTATGCTCTAGAGGACATAAGACTACAGTGTGTTTAATTTCTCTAAAGTGTTATGAGCTGCGCCAGATATATTTGGAAATGGTCCAAGTGAGGTACATTTACAAATCTGTGTAAAACTAACTAAACTTTCTAGACTATAGGACCACAGACCACCCATCGTGTAACATATATTCAACAATTCAAATTTAGCTTTTTTTATTCTGACTGACACAGTAGGGTTTATATATAATATAGCAAAAATAATTAGCATTTGTAAAAAAACCAAGAAAATTACTTGGAGCTTGACTTCAGAAAATATATGAGATTTAATGTGCGTTTTGCTGTTTTCCAAAGCATCATTTACTAAAACGTTTTGAGCTTTGAATTGTACAGCTAACCTTAAATCAGATTTGATTTTTAAAGGTTTTTGGAACAAATTAAAAAAAAACACCAAAAAACATTCAAACAAAAACCAAATGACTTCACAAAGCAATATCATCATCAATACTTTTGATTTATTACCATCTAGTTTTCCAGAGGTATTCAAAGATGTTCTAAAATATTCAGAAATATTCAAAAATATTCCAGAGAAAATAGTATATATTGGTATATATCTGTTGCGCTACACAAAATTGTGAAAATTACTTGAACAAACTGCAAACGTCATATACAAATATATACATGATATGAATAATCCACTGAAAAGCTACTTCAGTCCACACTCACTCTCCTGCTGACTCTCAGGGAAAACAAACATGCTCCACATAGTGTAAATCTTACTAAAACACACTTATAGTAAAATATTGCACTCACATAAGAATATAAACAATAACATATTCAATAAAACATACATGGCTGTCGCTCCGTTCTTTCCAGTTGAGTGGTGACGTCATCATAAGGCTTCTCTCCACGTGTTTAGTCATAAATGATGTCTTCTGGGGCAGTTGTACATTTTGTAAATATTCAGATATTGAATCCAGTTGTACATTTTGTAATTTGCCCATTGTCACCTAAGGATGCATCAATATCTGTCGCCCGTCTTTGTCTACATGTGATAACAAAATTAGAAAGCAATTCAGATAACAATCACCTATATACCCTAGTGATAAGGCCCTTAGAACTATTTGCTCAGACTATACTGACCAAGATAGGGACAGGAGAAAAAGAAACAATTGGGACCAAACCTTGAGTCTTCAAAGCATGTCTTAAATGTAAAAAAAAAAAAAAAAACATTTTTGCTCTAGGTTGAAATCAGTGCAGAGTTGTTGATATGTTTTCAAGAACCCCATTGGAATACAGTTGTAACAAAGTAGTAATCCCTGAATGTTCCCATTGGGAAAATCCTTCCAGTTGGGAAATTTCAGAAAACACTCTATTCCACCATAACGGTGTGAATCTAGTACTAAAGAGCGGCTGCTCCAGGTTGGTCTGCTTATACACGCTCACACACTTGCCAATTGGGTACCAACCCAGTTTGGAAGCCGATCAGTGTATGAAGTAAAGTTCCGAATGGCAGCACTCCAACAGATCCAATTTATTAGTATAAAACAGGTCACAGACAGTGGGGAACAAGAATAAGGTTGACATGTTTCACGCATTAGCGCTTACTCATAACCTATGTGAATATAGCATACCTTTTGGTACCCAGTTTCTTTTGGTAGACTGCCAGACCTTGCATAACCAGTATACTGTGGGATAAGTAAATTGGTGAAAATGTGGAGTTGTGGAATCCAGAGCCAACAGAGATGCTGAAGTTGGGTCGCCAAAAAATATACCCAGTGGTTTGGTAATGATACATTTGGATGTTAAAAAAATTCACATTTAATTCTAGCAGGTTTTTTACACCATATCAAGTTCTAAAAAATCTAACTTACGTTTAAAAAATATTTATGCAGAATTCAACATGGTGAATTAGGTAAATAGTACATTAACTGAGGCATCCATATAATTTTTAAAAGAATGATATGGCCAGCCATGGAAAGTTGCAGCTTACACCACGCCCCTGTCTGGGGATCTTAGTTTCAGGTAACCTTCAATTATTAAATAAATGTTCTCGTACCTCTCTGGTACCTGACACAAATTGGAGCAATAAATAAGGCAACATACTGAGAAATGATGGTGTACAAACTAAAGTAAACCACTGCACCCAATCACATTTTAATGAATTATGAATAATCCATTGTGATTGCATAAAGCAGAACTAAAGTCTGCAATACTTACCTTCTTTACAATGGTTCAAAGTCTGCAAGGTCCCTCACTGGCGTCTCCTCCTCAGCTTCTTCAGGTGCATTGATTTGGCTGGCGTGAGATCACATAACTCCTGTACATTAGCACAGTGTTGGAAATGTGAACTGAACTGTGCACACGCAGCTCGGTGTACGTTCTACAGAAGACTGTGAGCATGTAGGTACTATAGGTCTTACTTATTACAGAAGAGTCATTGAATGTATCTTCTGCAAGATATAGCCTGGTTGCTCATGAACTGGTAAAGTTTATTTTTAGATCTGCTTTATTAAAGATTGCTACCGTTTGTTGTTTTTTTGCCATGTTAACTATGCGTAAAGTATAGAGGATGGGTGCTGCTATAACCTTTTGCTAAACCTGAACCTAATTTTTATTACGCATAAAAAAACAACCTAGAAACAAATCAATCCCTTTTAGGAAGGTTTTGAGAAATGATCCTCCACAAACAAGATATTGCACTAAACCTGTATGTAAATAAGAGAATCAGAACCTTGCTAAGCAGAGTGGCAATGCCTCCACCCAGGATAGGACATCTGTGAACAGAGGGGATTTCCTTCCTGGGAAAATTAACCAGTAACCTAATCAAAGTAATTGGAAGCAGAGGAAAAACTCCAAATCACATAACATTAATGATAAGTATATGATGCACACTAGTGGAACTAATAAATGCTTTATATAAGAAAAGATTAATCATAGTACATACTGTACATCTAATGTACAGACAGGTATTATCAGCAAAGGGCTTGATAGGAGTCCTTGTGCACACATACCTTGGTGCATATAGCTATTAAAAGAGATACCTCTAGGTGAAAGTTGCAGTCCAGTTGTGAGGGCCCCTGTGGATGATCACAATGCGGCATCTGTCTTTGTGTCAGAGACCTGAAGACAAGGTCAGCAGGGTTGGGGAGATACTCCAACTGTTGTCCAACCAGCCTGGAAGCCACTTCTCATACACAAAAACTGTTGTGTGGCACTGGAACTCAGATTCAGCCTATATATTCTGTGTTTACTCCCTCCCTAGTAATTTCTAATCTGACATGCTACTGGACCTCTAACTGGCAGAAATGGCCATTGAATACCTAACATGGCTGTAGACTGTGCTGGTTATCCAGACCTAAAATACAACTAGCTACAGAATGCCAGACCAGAAGGGACAGGGTTAACTGAAATAACAGGAGTTGCATATAAACTCTATAGCAATAGGCAGGTTTACCTACTAATGTACTGGAATGGGACCATTGCATACATACATTAGCACAGACCTAGTTATCTGTCTCTGTGCGTGTGAAATAATAACAAAAGGACATAGATACTCTATCTGCCACAGGGATTCAGAAACACATTATTATTATGCAGATTATGGGAATCTGCATTTAAACTATTACAACATAGGAATACTTGCATTATAGTCTCTTCTGACCTGGATTTATCAGCATGGACAGGACATGTGGCTGGGACTCTCTCCCTCCTTCTCTCTCTCTCTCTCCCTCTCTCTCTTCCTCTTTTTCCTACTGGATTTCAAAGCCAGCCTCCCAGAGAAAGGAAGTGCTATTACATAATTATACATGACACTGTGATATTAGCAGCTCACAGTAGAGGGCAGCAGATCCCTACAGAACCATTTTATTTTTTTATTGCACTAAGATATACTGTAGATATAGTAAATTTATAGGCAGGAGCCAAGCTGCCCAACACACATGAAAAGCTGGGTTACCAATTAGAATACAGGTTACAGGGCACCAATGACAGTCCAGCCCAAGCCTTATGTTACAATGTACACGGATGAGAGCCTACGGCCTACTCTCACCATCCTCCTGGTCGTTGCTGCCTAACTTTTTAATGCCCAAAGTAGATACCTGCTTTTCACATTCACCTCATAACCATCATGGCTCTTCCCACTTAAGCACTTTAATACTGTGCTATAAGCAAAAGACGGCTGCATCACGGTTCTCTTGTTTTGGAAGGGCATCTATTGATGTCCCCTGAGAATGTGCCTCTCGCATGCCGCCTGATCAGGCATGCTCTGTGACTTCTGTGTCCTTTGGGCATAGTTGATCACAGATTGCAGCTAAAGGGCCAGTCACTGCGACCCTTTACCATGTGATCAGCTGCGTCCAATCACAGTTGATCACATGTAAACCGACTTGCCAGTTATTGGCAGTCTTCTCCTCAAATGCTGTGTCTGTGTAAGGAAGAGACAGTGATATCTGGCAAGGCTGTCAGTACTTTGTTAGTGCCCTGATAGTGCAGCCCTATCAGTGCCCATAAGTGCAGATTCTCAGTTCCAATCAGTGCCCATCAGTGCTGCCTATCAGTGCCACCTACACTATATTGCCACTATACTCCAACTGTTGTCCAACCAGCCTGGAAGCCACTTCTCATACTTTTTCTCAAATGCTGTGTCTGTGTGAGGAAGAGACAGTGATACCCGGCAAGTCTGTCAGTACGTTGTCAGTGCCCTGATTATCAGTGCAGCTCCATCAGTGTCCATCAGTGCAGCTTCTCAGTTCCAATCAGTGCCCATCAGTGATGCCTATCAGTGCCACCTACACTATATTGCCAAAAGAATTGGGACACCCCTCCAAATCATTGGATTTAGGTGTTCCAATCACCTCCATGGCCACAGGTGTATAAAATCAAGAACCTAGGCAGGTTGCTTCAACAAACATTTGTGAAAGAATGGGCTGCTCTCAGGAGCTCAGTGCATTCAAGTGTGGTACTGTGATAGGTTACCACCTGTGCAATAAGTCCATCCATGAAATTTCCTTGCTACTAAATATTCCATGGTCAACTGTTAGTGGTATTATAACAAAGTGGAAGCAACTGGGAACAACAGCAACTCAGCCATAAAGTGGTAGGCCACGGAAAAATGACAGAGCGAGGTCAGCACAGTCGCCAACTGTCTGCAGAGTCAATAGCTAAAGACCTCCAAACTTTGTGTAGCCTTCAAATCAAAACAACAACAGTGCGTAGAGAGCTTCATTGAATGTGTTTCCATGGCCGAAGCAGCTGCATCCAAGCCTTACATCACCAAGTGCAATGCAAAGCATTGGATGCAGTGGTGTAAAGCATGCCGCCATTGGACTCTAGGGCAGTGGAGACGTGTTCTCTGGAGTAACAAATCACGCTTCTCTGTCTGGCAATCCTATGGACGTGTCTGGGTTTGGCTGTTGCCAGGAGAATGGTACTTGCCTGACTGAATTGTGCCAAGTGTAAAGTTTGGTGGAGAGGATATCATGGTGTGGGGTTGTTTTTAAGGGGTTGGACTTGGTCCCTTAGTTCCAATGAAGGGAACTCTTAAGGCGTCAGCATACTAAGACATTTTGGACAATTTCATGCTGCCAACTTTGTGGGAACAGTTTGGGGATGGCCCCTTTCTGTTCCATCATGACTGCGCACCAGTGCACAAAGCAAGGTCCATGAAGACATGGATGAGCGAGTTTGGGGTGGAGGAACATGACTGGCCTGTGTAGAATCCTGACCTCAACCCGACAGAACACCTTTGGGATGAATTAAAGTGGAGACAGAGAGCCAAGCCTTCTCGTCCGACATCCATGCCTGACCTCACAAATGCGCTTCTGGAAGAATGGTCAAACATTCCCATAAACACACTTCTAAACTTTGTGGACAGCCTTCCTAGAAGAGTTGAAGCTGTTATAGCTGCAAAGGGTGGGCCAACTCAATATTGAACCCTATAGATTAAGACTGGGATGCCGTATAACGGCAGGCATCGCAATATTGTTGGCAATATAGTGTATCAGTGCCACCTATCAGTGCTGTCTCATCAGTGCCTGATCATCAGTGCAACTTATCAGTGCTGCCTAATCAGTGCACATCAGTGCAGCCTCATTAGTGCACACTAGTGAAGCCTCATTAGTGCCTATCAGTGCCCATTGATGCAGCCTTATCGGTGCCCATCATTGCAGCCTCATCAGCACACATAAGTGAAGGAAAACATTAATTATTTGCAAAATGTTATAACAGAAATTAAGAAACAGTTTCTTTTCAAAATGTTTTGTTTTTTTTGTTTCCTTAGTGTTGATTAATTACCACCAAAAGAAAGCTATATCTGTTCTTCTGCTCTTTAGCTCAAAACCATGAAAGGGAAGGGAGAATAGAGGGAAAGACCAAAATCATCTTTCTCTCTAGCTATCCATTACTCCTCTCCCACCCCAGCATGGGCCCCGGAGCAGCCTCTCCCCAAAAGGGGAAAGCACAAGTACCCTTAGTAGGCCTCTCTCTCCTCAAACTTTTCCTGAGTAGAAGGACTCCAGGCCCTAACTCCATCCACCTTAAATAGGGCTACCCAGAAGTACTCTACCAGGAGGAGGAGCAACCCTTAAGTGGACCTCTGCCTGCTTACAAATTAAGCATTATAGCTGAACTCCAAGCAAACAGACAAATACACAGATGAAATATACAGGTTAGAGCTTTTTTACTTGAACAAATATTTGTATTTCTGACTATCCAGTCCTGACAACTATACAGCTCTAGCACAGAGCGCAGTCTCATCTAGCACGATATGAAGCCTGATTTTTTATCTTCTGCAATTCAGTAACATTTACAGGTCTGGTCCCTGCCTGCAGTCTGAATGTATTACAGTGATTATAGGAGTCAGATACTAGGTCAAATGTAGGTACCTAGTTATATTTTATAGGCATTTATATGGTGCCAACAGTTTATGCTACACTTTACATATTGCACATTCACATCAGTTTGTGCCCTCAAGGAGACTACAATCGTAATTAGAGATGAGCGAATCGAACCTGGCGAAGTGGAATTCGTTCGAATTTTAGGAAAAATTCGATTCGCGTCGAATCCGAATATTAGCAAACTTCGGATGCGCGAATCGAATTTTCCCCGATCGGCCGATTTTCATCCCTTCTACAGCCGGCAAAAAGTGTCCCTGCAGAGAGCTCCGCTATTTCTGACAGTTCTCTGACAGTTCCTTCACATTTACAGCAGTTGAAACATTGTATCTATTTGTTTCCATTTAGGATACAGATGTTTTTATTCGGAAACAAATAGATACAATGTTTCAACCGCTGTAAATGTGAAGGAACTGTCAGAGAACTGTCAGAAATAGCGGAGCTCTCTGCAGATACACTTTTTGCTGCACTGGAATTCTTCTTCATCCTCATCCTACCTCTTCTTCTTCTTCTTCTTCTTCTTCTTCTTCTTCTTCTTCATCCTCATCCTACTTCTTCTTCTTCTTCTTCTTCTTCTTCATCCTCATCCTACTTCTTCTTCTTCTTCATCATCCTCATCCTACTTCTTCTTCTTCTTCTTCTTCTTCTTCTTCATCCTCATCCTACTTCTTCTTCTTCTTCTTCTTCTTTCTTCTCATCCTCATCCTACTTCTTCTTCTTCTTCTTCTTCTTCTTCATCCTCATCCTACTTCTTCTTCTTCATCCTCATCCTACTTCTTCTTCTTCTTCTTTCTTCATCCTCATCCTACTTCTTCTTCTTCTTCTTCATCCTCATCCTACTTCTTCTTCTTCTTCTTCATCCTCATCCTACTTCTTCTTCTTCTTCTTCATCCTCATCCTACTTCTTCTTCTTCTTCATCCTCATCCTACTTCTTCTTCTTCTTCATCCTCATCCTACTTCTTATTCTTCTTCTTCTTCATCCTCATCCATCCTACTTCTTCTTCTTCTTCTTCATCCTCATCCTACTTCTTCTTCTTCTTCTTCTTCTTCATCCTCATCCTACTTCTTCTTCATCCTCATCCTACTTCTTCTTCTTCTTCATCCTCATCCTACTTCTTCTTCTTCTGCTTCTTCTTCTTCTTCTTCATCCTCATCCTACTTCTTCTTCTTCTTCTTCATCCTCATCCTACTTCTTCTTCGTCTTCTTCTTCTGCTTCTTCTTCATCCTCATCCTACTTCTTCTTCTTCTTCTTCTTCTTCTTCTTCTTCTTCTTCTTCATCCTCATCCTACTTCTTCTTCTTCATCCTCATCCTACTTCTTCTTCTTCTTCTTCCTCTTCTTCTTCTTCTTCTTCTTCTTCTTCATCCTCATCCTACTTCTTCTTCTTCTTCTTCTTCATCCTCATCCTTCTTCTTCATCCTCATCCTACTTCTTCTTCTTCTTCATCATCCTCACCCTACTTCTTCTTCTTCTTCTTCTTCTTCTTCTTCTTCTTCTTCATCCTCATCCTACTTCTTCTTCTTCTTCATCCTCATCCTACTTCTTCTTCTTCTTCATCCTCATCCTACTTCTTCTTCTTCTTCTTCATCCTCATCCTACTTCTTCTTCTTCTTCATCATCATCCTCATCCTACTTCTTCTTCTTCTTCTTCTTCATCCTCATCCTACTTCTTCTTCTTCATCCTCATCCTACTTCTTCTTCTTCTTCTTCATCCTCATCCTACTTCTTCTTCTTCATCTTCATCCTACTTCTTCTTCTTCTTCTTCATCATCCTCATCCTACTTCTTCTTCTTCATCCTCATCCTACTTCTTCTTCTTCTTCGTCGTCCTCATCCTACTTCTTCTTCTTCTTCATCATCATCCTCATCCTACTACTTCTTCTTCTTCTTCTTCATCCTCACCCTACTTCTTCTTCTTATTCTTCATCTTCTTCTTCATCCTCATCCTACTTCTTCTTCTTCTTATTCTTCATCCTCATCCTACTTCTTCTTCTTCTTCATCCTCATCCTACTTCTTCTTCTTCTTCATCCTCATCCTACTTCTTCTTCGTCTTCTTCTTCTGCTTCTTCTTCATCCTCATCCTACTTCTTCTTCTTCTTCATCCTCATCCTACTTCTTCTTCTTCTTCTTCATCCTCATCCTACTTCTTCTTCTTCTTCCTCTTCTTCTTCTTCATCCTCATCCTACTTCTTCTTCTTCTTCATCCTCATCCTTCTTCTTCTTCTACTTCTTCTTCTTCATCCTCATCCTACTTCTTCTTCTTCTTCATCCCCATCCTACTTCTTCTTCTTCTTCTTCATCCTCATCCTACTTCTTCTTCTTCATCCTCATCCTACTTCTTCTTCTTCTTCATCCTCATCCTACTTCTTCTTCTTCTTCTTCATCCTCATCCTACTTCTTCTTCTTCTTCATCCTCATCCTACTTCTTCTTCTTCATCCTCATCCTACTTCTTCTTCTTCTTCATCCTCATCCTACTTCTTCTTCTTCTTCTTCATCCTCATCCTACTTCTTCTTCTTCTTCTTCATCCTCATCCTACTTCTTCTTCTTCTTCTTCTTCATCCTCATCCTACTTCTTCTTCTTCTTCATCCTCATCCTACTTCTTCTTCTTCTTCATCCTCATCCTACTTCTTCTTCTTCTTCTTCTTCTTCTTCTTCATCCTCATCCTACTTCTTCTTCTTCTTCTTCTTCTTCTTCATCCTACTTTCTTCTTCTTCTTCATCCTCATCCTACTTCTTCTTCTTCTTCTTCATCCTCATCCTACTTCTTCTTCTTCTTCATCCTCATCCTACTTCTTCTTCTTCTTCATCCTCATCCTACTTCTTCTTCTTCTTCTTCTTCATCCTCATCCTACTTCTTCTTCTTCTTCTTCTTCATCCTACTTCTTCTTCTTCTTCATCCTCATCCTACTTCTTCTTCTTCATCCTCATCCTACTTCTTCTTCTTCTTCTTCATCCTCATCCTACTTCTTCTTCTTCTTCATCCTCATCCTACTTCTTCTTCTTCTTCTTCATCCTCATCCTACTTCTTCTTCGTCTTCTTCTTCATCCTCATCCTACTTCTTCTTCTTCTTCTTCTTCTTCTTCATCCTCATCCTACTTCTTCTTCGTCCTCATCCTACTTCTTCTTCTTCTTCTTCATCCTCATCCTATCCTACTTCTTCTTCTTCTTCTTCATCCTCATCCTACTTCTTCTTCTTCTTCTTCTTCTTCTTCATCCTCATCCTACTTCTTCTTTTTCATCCTCATCCTACTTCTTCTTCTTCTTCATCCTCATCCTACTTCTTTCTTCTTCTTCTTCATCCTCATCCTACTTCTTCTTCTTCTTCTTCTTCATCCTCATCCTACTTCTTCTTCTTCTTCTTCATCCTTATCCTACTTCTTCTTCTTCATCCTCATCCTCATCTTCTTCTTCTTCTTGCCATGGGCCCCTATACCGCCTCCTCATGCTGCTGCCAGGTCCAGAGTGTGTCATGGGTCCCTGTACGGCCTCCCATTGCTGCTGTCTCCATCGCCACACTCTGCCATGTGCCACTTTCAGGTCTCCTCACACTGCTGGTGGGTTCCATTTTGTCATAGGGTGCTGTATGGCCTCCCATTGCTGCTGCCTCCACCGCCACACTGTGGCTCCACACTCTGGTTTTGGCCCCGTGACTGCCCAAATGAGTGAAGTGTGCGGTGATTCTA